TGGTGTTGGTATAGTGAGGTACAGTACTGTCTGTAGTGGTGTTGTTGCATAATTTAATTTACAGTACTGTCTGTGGTGGTGTTGGTATAGTGGTACAGTACTGTCTGTGGTGAGGGTGTTGGTATAGTGGTACAGTACTGTCTGTGGTGGTGGTGTTGGTATAGTGGTACAGTACTGTCTGTAGTGGTGTTAATTATAGCGGTACAGTACTGTCTGTGGTGGTGTTGGTATAGTGGTACAGTACTGTCTGTGGTAGTGTTGGTATAGTGGTACAATTTTTTTGTCTGTATTGAATGTTGGTATAGTGGTACAATTGCTGTCTGTGGTAGTGTTGGTATAGTGGTGCAGTACTGCTGTCTGTGGTGGTGTTAGTATGATGGTACAGTACTGTCTGTGGTGGTGTTGATATAGTGGTACAGTACTTGTCTGTGGTGGTGTTGGTATAGTGAGGTACAGTACTGTCTGCGGTGGTGTTGAGGTATGGTGAATTTTTCCAGTACTGTCTGTGTGGTAGTGTTGGTATAGTGGTACAGTACTGTCTGTGGTGGTGTTGATATAGTGGTACAGTACTGTCTGTGGTGGTGTTGGTATAGTGGTACAATTACTTGCTGTCAGTGGTGGTGTTGGTATGGCGGTACAGTACTGTCTGTGGTGAGGCATGTTGGTATAGTGGTACAGTACTGTCTGTGGTGGTGTTGGTATAGTGGTACAGTACTCTCTGTGGTGAGGTGTTGGTATGTGGTACAGTACTGTCTGTGGTGGTGTTGATATAGTGGTACAATTACTGTCTGTGGTGGGTGTTGGTATAGTGGTACAGTACTGTCTGTAGTGTGTTGGTATGGCGGTACAGTACTGTCTGTGGTGGTGTTGGTATAGTGGTACAGTACTGTCTGTGGTGGTGTTGGTATGGTGGTACAGTACTGTCTGTGGTGGTGTTGGTATGGTGGTACAGTGCTGTCTGTGGTGAGGTGTTGGTACAGTGGTACAGTACTGTCTGTAGTGAGAATGATATAGTGGTCAGTACACTCTGGTAGTGTTGGTACAGTGGTACAGTACTGTCTGTGGTGAGTGTTGGTATAGTGGTACAGTACTGTCTGTGGTGGTGTTGGTATAATTAATTTTAGTACTGTCTGTGGTGGTGTTGGTATAGTGGTACAGTACTGTCTGGCTAATTGAGGTGTTGGTATAGCGGTACAGTACTGTATGTGGTGGTGTTGATATAGTGGTACTGTGAGGTACTGTCTGTGGCGGTGTTGGTATGTTGAACAGTGTGCTGTCTGTAGTGGTGTTGGTATGGCGGTGCAGTACTGTCTGTGGTGAATGTTGGTATAATTAATTTTCCAGTACTTTGTCTGTGGTAGTGTTGGTATAGTGGTACAGTACTGTCTGTGGTGGTGTGTTGGTATAGTGGTACAGTACCAATGTCTGTGGTGGTGTTGATATAGTGGTACAGTACTGTCTGTGGTGGTGTTGGTATAGTGGTACAGTACTGTCTGTGGTGAGATTGTTGGTATGAGTGGTACAGTACTGTCTGTGGTGAGGTGTTGGTATAGTGGTACAGTGCTGTCTGTGGTGGTGTTGGTACAGTGGTACAGTACCTGTCTGTGGTGAAGTGTTGATATAGTGGTCAGTACACTCTGGTAGTGTTAGTACAGTGGTACAGTACTGTCTGTGGTGGTGTTGGTAT